CAACAGGAGAGAAATTTCTGTGTATCTACATCAAATTCTTTATTTTGTTAAACACATAATTTCATTAATCCTGAAATTTTACACTGGTGTTCCCAAATAATGATTAAACTTTATGTTAATGTTAAGATAGGAACAAATAGAGTAAAAAAATAATAGATATGTATGACTGTTACAGGAGAGACTTTTCCAAAATACACAGTTTTGTAATAGTACAAAACAATGTTACATGTTAATTAGATATAACATAGAATAATTGCTGAATTACAAGTAAAATGTAAAGCAAAATAGGATTTATATTAAGAAAATTGCTTGCCTACGCAAATATTGGCATGTACAACATAAAGGAAGGACACTGAAAGACACTAAAGTCTGAAAAAAAATATTTAACCTTCATTTAAAAGAAGAACATGGATTGGAGAGCCATCCTCCTTTTGCCTGTATAATTTTCTTTTACCTTTCTTTAGAAGAAAACTTTTTTTCACTGTTTTTCTAAATATCATGAGTGTATGTTTCTGGCAAGTTGTTTGATTAACTTGAGAATTTTCCACTGCAATTTGGAAATGGGTCCTAGCTAGGTCATTAAAATTGGGAATTTAATTTCATTTTTTCACTGATTGGGAAATTATATCGGGTACATGACAATTTTCAACAAAACAAAACAAAAACAAACAAACAAACAAAAAGAAAAAAAAAGAAACACTCATGATGTTTAGTATAGCTTATTTGAGCCAAATGCTCAGATGAGCTTTTCTGATTGAGATTTGTGTTTTGTTTTTTGGTATTAACTTAAGAAATTGTTATTGTTTTCTTAAACTTCTCACATTTTTTTATCTTGGTCATTTTAACTACATTTAGCACAGAATATCTTATGAAAAGGAAATTTAAATTGTTCAAATGAAGGGTCACACCTTCTTCCAATAAAAAAATGAAGAAAGAATGAAATATTTTGACAGGTCATTTTAAAAAGACCAGAAAAGATAAAATTTAAATATAAAGCTTCATGACATAGTGTAGATTAAAGTTTGTTCAAATCATGAACCCCTAAGGTAGGGTATGGCATTATGAATGATCAAAATATTACTGGCGTAAGTTGGATCACGTATCAACAAATCTTTTTTTAGGAACAGCAAAACCTTGATAGGGACGTTAAACAGTATATAATCAATCAATCAATCGATCAGTCAAATCTAAATAAAGGCATTTATACTTTAGTGTACATTCTAATTTGTTCAAATCATGATCACTGGTGTAGCTTAGGGTTTGGCATCTATTGGTTAATTTAGAGTTATATTGGGGGTACAAATAATTATGAAAAATCTATAAAGATCTTCTCATTACATGTAGCAAGCCATGGTCAGTAATAATAGATAAACCATACAATTTTGACTGTTTTGTGGTGTATTGTAAATTATACCATGGTTTGGGTTTCACGACCCTGGGTTTAACGTCACGAGACGAATGACCCTCAGGAATTGGACCTAAATTCCAACCTAAACAGGGCAGTAACAAATCCCTTAAGCTGTGTGAAACTTTTTTTTTTAGAGATGGAAAAATATATACTGCCTAATAGCTAAGAAACATAATTTATTGTGTCCTTCCTGTTACACTGAATTAATAAATAAAAAAATCATATATTGAACTTATATTATGGGTAAAGGGGCTAAAGAATGATTTTTAATATGAATTTTTTTCCATCAAAGACTATTCAACAATTATACTGTGCTTATGAGAAAAAAAATTCTCAAAAATTGTTCATTTTATAGCAATACCCGTCTTTCCTGTTACAGAATCATATTTAGAGGTCCTTTAATATCAAAAATTATCTTTTCATAGTTGAAAAAAGAATAAAAAATAAAATATTTACTACAAAGTAATAAAATGAAAATATTATTAAATCTGACAATTTAATAAAAGTCCGCATTTTTTTCTGATTTAAGCAAAATTTGTCCGTACTGTTACAATATGCTATGTCTTTCCTGTTACAAAATCACTTTTTATGTTTCAATTAACAATTAAAAACAATGAATCCTTACTCAAGGTGTATTTTTGTTACTTACTTCAATTCTAATAAAAATCATGCAATAAATTTCTTGGTTAATGATGAGATAGGTCTAAAATCCACATTTTATTTAATGTAAGTCTTTTCTGTTACAAAAATTGTCTTTACTGTTACAAATTAGCACGTAACAGGATGGACATATAACAGGGTAGACAATTGCTCTATATTTGGTCATTATTTTCCTTATTGCTTACCATACAAGTTGATGATGCAGTAGGTTTGAAACAAAATGTTTAAGTTATTTTGTAAAAGAAGCTAAAATTGTTTCACTCCATTGTTAAAGCTTTATTTCAATGTAACAGTATGGACGTCATTTTTTTCTACTGTGTAAATCGTAGCTATATATTGGACATTTTATTCAAACTTATCAAATTTAAAAAAATTACATTAACAACCTAGTAACATGGAAATGTAGCCAAGGCTAATGGTAAGTATGAAACCCAGAAAAGTTAATTCTTAATATTTCTATTTTCTTGATTTTCATTGGCGTAACAGGAGAGACAAAAACTAGTGGGACACACCTTCTAGTCTTCATATTTACAAGATGAGCTTATTTAAGACAATTATAGTGTTTTTATGGCATTTATTATGAATAGTTTAAGGCATACAAGGAAAAAAATGAAAAGAAAATGAACAACATATGCCATAAAACACTTTTTAATTCAATGGAAAGGAGTGTGTGACATCACAAAATGTGCTAATTTGAGCTATTATCAAAGCATTTTTTCTTTAAATATATCACACAGCTATAAAATTAATATTGTGCCAACTACAGAATAATGTATTCTAAATAGTGATATGAAAATTTATATAATTTTTACTTCATATACTTTTTTATTGGCTTGTGACCAAAATTTTGGCGATTTTTGATAATGACTCATCTAATATTTCAATGCAATAATATTATATATTTATTAATATTATATTTATTTGTTATTTTTATTTTTTATGATTATTTTCTAAGCAAAGTGTAACACGTAAATGTATATCTGAAGACATTTACCGACCGTGATTATACTCGGACAAAATACATGTAATGGAAAGAGGCACTCAAATTATTTATAATAGATTAGGTTTTCAGAACTAAATAAATAATAAATATGTTTTCATAGTTTTTATTTAACAGGGCAATTGTAAAAGCAAGAGAGAGAGAAAGATGTAAGCCCCCTCGATTCTCAGATATCTGTTGCATCTCAGATATTTGTTGCATCGAATAAAAATTCATATAATTTTTTCTAATATTCCAAGCAGTCAACGTAATCATTTTTTTAATGAAGATTAACAAATCCATTTGACAATAAGCATCGGCTGTTATTTTCCTTCATCAAGTTCACACGGTTCACTCGAAGTGCACGCGCTTGTCCTGGCAATCAAAATAATTCTCGTTTCACTGAACATGCCGAACATGCCAAAGTCATAGAGTCATTTAGTATTTCAAGCCTTGATGCACAAAACTAATGCCGGCGAAAACTTGCTCTGTCTTTTAAAAGCTAGTCTATCTCTGTTCGTTGAATGACGTTTTTCATTCAGAATTTTAAGTTATTGTATAACTTCTTAAGGTACCCATTGTACAAATGGGTAAAAATGTATGCCCGGAAACCCTATGAATTTATGTTCTAAAATCAAAGTATGGGTCATGAAAAATAAAAAAAAAAATGGGTCATCAGGGGCTACAACTCATTTAAGGAAGATAACTCTTGATGAAAACTAAAATCTAAGGAACATAAAAAAAATGGTATCTTCTAAGAAGTTTGTTCAACAATAATGACACAAAAGTTACTTTTATATTGTAATCTTTATATGAAATTAAAGAATAATAAATAACAAAACATAGTAAGAGTGTTATTTAAAGAAAAAAAATAACAGGTGACAAAATGGTCAATTTGTAAGTATAAAAATATAAAATATGTTCGTAATGTCATTTGCAACATGCTGTTACCATGTAGACTAGCTCAAGTCTCTATGTTTTTATTGTTTATTTTTTTATAAATAGTTTTAAAAATTCTGTTTCTTATTTGTATTGCTGTCCTCTGCTCTCTGTCATAGTTAAATGTCAAACATCTATGTTTGACATAATCAAAGAGTATAAAAGAGAGCACTAAAACATAGAGACTTGAGCAAGTCTGGTTACCATGGAACATTAACATTTTTATCAAAGGGAAATATTTATAAAAAACATTAGAAAAGTCAAAACTTTTCCCTTAATTTATTTCACCCCCCCCTTTTTTTTTAACTTATTTTCAAGTCAAAAATAATGAATATCATACTGTAAATATATCACATTTGGCTGGGTATTCTTTTTAGTGCTTTTGGCGGAAACGTCCATTCATTCAAGTACAATGCTAAATGTTTTGCAAATATATACATTCATAAGAACATTAAGTTATCCGCTAAATCACATCTATGCTAACTTGTTCAAAAATCAATTTCTGCCATAAGCGTACATGCTAAATATAATACATTTACAGTAACTCAATATACAACATTGATTTATATAAATGAAAATGGTTTGAAATTCTGAAAATAATGTGAATTTATAATGATGTCTAGAATTTAAAAATGTTCACAAAAGAATAAAAAAAATTCACAGAAATGCTGAGGTTAAAAATTGATAGCAACAGTAAATTGTATCAAAGCAGAGTGATAAAAATTCGATACAGACTTTGAACATGAATTTCAAGATTTAATGACACAATAAATAGTACTTGTGATATAAAATAATGTATATACTATAAGGACTCTGACAGTAATCTCATTAGGTATGTGTGATACTAGTAGATGATCCATAAAACAGATCAACTTGTGTTGGTACATTTGATAAATACATGTGGCAGCAAAAAATTCATACAACTTTTGGACAAAATTTTGTAGAACTTTAGATGTTCCAGTCACTTTAGGTTTGCCATCACTGGTTTTGGGAGAAATTGGATGAATTAATTTATTTCACCATCCCTGTCATAGCCATAGATCAGCTTTAGATGAGAAAATGTCATGGTCTCTGCCAGACTCCTCTTCATAAAACTTTACCAATCAGCACACACAAATACCCCTAGTTCTTTGATTTTTCAGCATTGAACACCTGTTGAAACTGAGAAATACTATACAGATAATTGTTTCATACAATATACATGTGATTCATTGAAAGTTTGTAGCAGAGATTATTCCGTCCAACTTTCATGATAACATATAGTCTTCTGCATGCAGTCAAATATTTTTCTTAATTCTTACATTGATTCCCAAGCAAATTGACCGATAAACATTTGATTTAAGAGTGACCAAATTTATATATTTATCCTGCAAATACCCCTTGCATTGACCTAATAAAGGTAACCTAATAAACAAAAGCTTTATCCGGTCACTGCCTTAATAAGCCTCGTGCATGTATTCCGACGTTCCAAAAGCATTGTGACGTCAATTATACATGTACTGCAATGTTTACGCCGTGGTGTCATAGTTTCAACTGCAGAGATGTGCCTAAGTCTGTTGGAATTATCTAGTTTTGATCGCGCAAATGTAACATTTTGTTGCAGGATAAACAAAATACGTGATCACTGTCTTGAAATATAAGCGATATTTGGGCTCGGGTCAAAAACGTAAGAGGGCGAGGCTTCGTTTCCTAACACTTGCCCAAATATCGCTTATATTTCAAGACAGTAACCATGTATTTTATATGTATCTACCAAATGATATAATAAAACTGTTCATACCTTCAAAATTCTTTCATGTATTGATAATAAAGTTAATATTGACAACAAGTTGTTTATCTTCTGAGGGTCTCCCAAACAGTACTGTAGACTACAGCTACAAAGAGAGTAGATACAAATTATATTACATGCAATTGTTGAGATGCATAAACATGTAAATCTTATTCTTAATTATATGCTTTATCCAACATTTAATGGTGTAAGATAAAAATTTAGATGTGATAAATATTTTATACTAGTTGTCAATGCCTAAATTAGATAATATAAATTCCACAAACAAATATAAATATAAATGCTTACCTGTTCCAATCTGTGTATTAGTACTGAAATATACTGCATCCCTTTGGATTTTCTCAGCTTTTGCCGTTTTGGGAACATCGATGCCAGCTGCAAGCAATTTCCGCACAGCGGCACTGCATGTATAAAAACCAGCTAACCCGAGTTTCACTCACATTCGCTCTTTCGCTAAAAAATAATGGTCCGGAGTGACATTTTGAGCACAATATGAGGCCTCTGACCAGCAAACTCGATAACCCTCCTTCCAGTCATCTAACGAACTCTTACTGTCAACATGAGGGTTATGTATGGGGCGCCGTTTTGGTATTTACTACCAAAAAGTGATATCACGCATTCGAATAGGTGATATCACCTATTCGAATAGGTGATATCACCTATTATTTCCAATAATATCACCAATTCTAATAGGTGATATCACCTATTCGAATAGGTGATATCACTCATTCGAATAGGTGACATCACCTATTCGAATAGGTGATATCACCATTGGAAATGAATAGATGATATCACCCATTCGAATAAGCGATATCACCTATTCGTGCTGAATAGGTGATATCACCTATTCAAATAAGTGATATCACCTATTCGAATAGGTGATATCACCTATTCATTTCCAATAGGTGATATCACCTATTCATTTCCAATAGGTGATATCACCTATTCGAATAGGTGATATCACCTATTTGAATTTCTTACAACAATAAATAATGAATGCTCCCAATAATAACAGATTACCAGCCAAGAAAATTCGGACTACCCAGTTTTCATGCGTTTTTCCAATTTTACATGATAGATAAGTGAAATAAATTTAATTTGTGAGCAAAACAAACTACAATTTCTATTAGGGTAGATTAAAATTAAATGCAAAACTGTAAGGTCTTGAAGTTTAGTTTACTTTTACTTTCGTTTTATAACTTCCGGAGCGTTCTTGGAAACAATGGATTCCCGCTTCGCATTAGGTTTTAAACTTTGCAGTGGACTAGTAGAACCTGTCATATCGTTTTTTTCTCGAATATTGAAAAGAAGAATAGAAAATGGATTGAGTTGTACAGGTAAACAGCTTTTAATCGCTTAATTGTTTTATAAAATGACGTACATATATACAAGCTATATATTCTGAATGGGACAAGATTAGCGAACATTTCAAAGCATAAAAAGAATATCAAAATTGTTTTTAAGATAAAAACGTGTGTTTTCAAACGAAAAGGATCCCCAAAGATTGGTTCTATAATTTTATTTCATTGATTTAGCTCAAGGGACAATAGAATCAGGTCCTGATCGATATACATGTAGAATCAACTGAGAATGCAGTCATTGGAAACAAAATGGGAAATACATGTACATGTACCCAAATGCATCCATCACGGGAATACAGGGTTGATAACTACATTAAAACATGATCCTGAGAGAAAAAAATATTTAATTTATTATTTAATTTATTAATAATATTATGCATAAATCATTACAGTAGATATAAAGTAGATAATGTAACGTTTTTCTCTATATGGGGTGTTTGTTGTTACCCGCGTCACAAAATATTGTGGATCCCGTGTAGAAGATAGGAACTTTAGATCTTTATAGATCTAACATCAGAACAACGACAAAGTTTGTTTCAACAAGTGTATTAATAATATCCAAGAGTAGTTTTACATATCAAATCCAAGCTATGTATATCAACTCGCTAATTCTCTCTCCTTATATACCCTGTCTGACACCTAACGTGATTTAGGGCACCTGTTAGGGCAATCGGCTCCCTCATTAGGGCACCCTGTTAGGGCAATCGGCTCCAAGTATTAGGGCCTCTGCACCATTGTTAGGTGTCAAGACACTTGATACATTTAGCATCTGAAAAGCGCCTTATTAATTAGGACACTAATTAGACTTCCAAGATAAGGACGCTAATCAGGTACCATGGTTAGCGCTTATCAAATAAACAAAAAATAATATTCCTATTTTTTTTAACAACTGTAGCATTTTTTACATATATAAACAAAAACATTACAATAAGCTAATTAGGTACTCTATCCTGTTGATCCAGAAATAAAAATGTCAATCATTACTTCTTGCATGTACACAGGCATGTATACATTCAATTTCAATTTCTATATTATCTGTAAAGCGTTATGACCCCCTTCCCAAATACTCTTAATAAAATCATGAGACAGGCATTTTTTTCATAAAATAGGAATTTATGAGCAGCGGCTGAATCGCATAACGGGGGATGGGGATATAGTAGTAGGTAAAGGGTTCTTGTGGCTGCATAGATGTGGAAAAGACCTGGCAAAAGTGCAGGGGCAAAGCCCCCATAAAACCGAGAAAACACCTAAGGTTTTTTCCCTTTGATTTAGGAATAGCATAAGCCAAATTTCATAAACAAATTTAGAGACTTTAAGAGGGAGGGGGTACATGCCCATCGCGCTTGCGCTGGATCCGCCTTTGTCAGATTAGAAAATGGAATTTTTCTCATTTCGGACATGTAGCTATAACAATTTAACTGTGTCTCCTAACAGGCCCTCACTGGGGCCATAGCATATTCACCATTCAACAACACAACATTTTATCTATATATGTTACAGGGCTCCAGTTTAAGTACTGAAAAAAGGACAATGCCTCAACTGAATGTGTCATCTTTGTACTGGTATCTGTTAATGGGGTTTATCTCATAGTTCTCTCATATGGCAACTTCCAAGTACTTACTTCAATATCTAAAACTTACTAGTTCAGTATCAAATTCACAAAAGCTCACATACCATGGTAAATCAAGGGACCATATAAATGCTAGTTTAATTTTTTATTATATTTTCTTAAAAAAAAAATAACAAGTTATTTAACTTATTAACAAGAACTAGTCCCCTACTTTGTGCCTTCCATTCATTTCAACAATTGAAATGCACATTCATCATTTATAAGTAAGTTCTGCATAAAAATTGCTAACTGTACAGAATGTTTGCACATTTGTTTCAACGAATAATCTTTTCTTAAAAATTCTCAAGGATATCAATACACTATATGTACACTTCAGAACAAATTTAAGGAAGTCTTAGTTTAATTTGTATATTTGGTAGTTACAACTTACATGTGTATTTAGTTTTTTATTTAAAGGATGTACACAGGCATGTTATACAGTATGAGTAAAACTCGTTTTGTACGAACACAGATACATGTATTGCAAATTCACAGATATAGGAAAGTTATCTTGTATCTCCTGCTTTATAAATTTAAAAATTCCTTATACAAATATAATGAATTATGGATAGAGCAAAGTAATTTCATAGGTCCCAGTGACTTTGCTATAACCGAATTTTACAGTAACTGTATTATTGTTAATACCAGTATTCAAGAACGTATTCACTTTTTTTTTTCTTGTAGATGATCACTTCCACCTGATGTTTTTCCAGGTTCTTGTGAAAAGTGTTTCATCTGGCACCATTCGGCTACAAATACTTTGCCGATGGAACTGACATCTATCAAATGCTGATGACACTGATAATTCATTAATTGGACATGCTGGAAGAGAATTTCCTTTGGGAGAAACAAACTGTTTCAACATTTTTTACCTACAAGTTGGTACTGATGAAATTTTGTTTGAAGGAAACTAAAGGCTATGAATACTAAAATACAAGCCAAATGAAATACAAAAGGGTTAATACAAGTCATTTAAAATTTTAATTTCTTTGCAGATAGTGATGAGTGCTCTGAAAGTTTTCTCAGGATCTCGTCCGACATCATAGGTACAACTGCATGGTCACTGTGCTTTCTTGGTTATGTAAGCAGGCATATTGTTAAGGCGGTGACATATGTAGCTCCAATTCCAAATGATGCTTGACTGTTTTCATTCAGTTTATAAGTAAACCTGGATTGATATCTGATGCAGTGATATAGAGCCATGTCATGTTTAATTTCATCTTCTCACTGTCACAAAGTACTGAAATAAAAGCGATTTTGATTTAATTTTTTTTTTTGGTTTTCATAGTATGTATCATAACATTCTACAGAAATTCAAATAAATCACAAATTAAATAATAATAATAATAATAATAATAATAAAACTTTATTTAAAGAAGGTAACCTGGTTAGTGCATGCACTATTCTTCCCCAGGGCCCTCTCTATATATGTACATATATCAAATACAAAATATATACACTTCATCAAGATACAAATCATCATAATCACATACAATTAAGTACATGTTATATAGGTTTGAGAATTACAATCACTGAATTATGAATAGAGTGTTCAAATACAGACACATCTTAACAATAACAGTACAATATACGATATTGAACTCTTATTATGCTCAAATGATTGTACGACAGCTGATTATGTAATTTTCCACATTACGCTTGAATGTTCGTAGAGAATGAGAGAATCTAATGTGTTGGGGAAGTTTATTCCACAGATGTACACCTGAATACTGAAAAGAGGTCTTGAATAAGTTTGTACGAAATTTTGGTAATCTAAGATCATAATTAGTTTCGGATCGCAGGTTATAAGAAGTTGAAGACTGAAATTCAAATAAATTACGAAGATATTCGGGAGTCATTCCACTGAAAATTTTGTATAATAATATGTATTTGTATAGATCAACTAGTTCATAAACTGTTAACCACCCAAGTTTCTCAAACAGTGGTTTAGAAGAAGAATCAGGACTTGCATCAAGGATAATCCTTGCTGCCCTTTTCTGTAATTTAAATAGTCTGTCCATGTCCTGCTTGGGGGCATTACCCCAAACAGTCAAACAATAGTTAATAGATGGTAAAATATAAGCGTTGTAATAAAGTTTCCTGGTATGAAGAGGGAGAAATTTCTTAATCCTACGAAGCGTAAATAACTTATAATTAACCGTTTTACAAACTGAGTCAATATGATTTGCATACTGTAACTTATCATCAATATGTACACCAAGAATTTTTCCAGTTTCAACAATTTCAATTGTTTTGTCTGAGGCATAAAGTTGTAAATTTGGATTATCTAATTTTGATTTTCTTTGATGTGTTCCCATTAACATACATTTTGTTTTATCTACATTTAAAACCATTTGATTTTGAGCACACCATTTTTCAATCTCACAAAGATCTGCATTTAGCGTATTTTCTAAACATCGTGCATTATGATTATTTGAATACAGAGTAACATCATCAGCAAACATATCAATATTTGAATTGTTTACATGTAATGGAAGGTCATTTATGTACAAT